AGCCTCTAAATGATCAACATGATGAAAACTGATAAACGTGTTGCACACGATCTACTCCATGCCTTCTGTTGCCTGAATGATAGTTCTTTTTTATCAAGTAAAAGGTCTTTTAGTGTAACTGTACAATCGTCCACATTCAGCTTGTGCTTCACGTGTCTTTTCTCTGTGAAATCTTTACTGATTTTGATCAAGTAAACGTAAGAATAACTTCAGTAATATTTCCAGATGCACACTTACTGGACTGAAGCAGCTCAGCTTTACTTGATTCTCCATCAATCATGTTTTAGAGTCTCAAATCTGATCCTCAGGATCTTTTGAGGAGCGTTTGTTTCCAGAAGCTTTACTTTCACTGTTCCTCAGCGGAGGAATGATCTTCACAAGCCTCCAGAACATCTCACATCTTCTGAGGAGCCTTTTATTTCTTCATCTCTCAATCATCACTGGATTGCATTGCATTAAATGTTTTATTTTATTTTGATATTATATATCATTTTATGTAAGTATCTGCTATACTGTTATAAGGATCTCATTGATTTATAAGGGATCAGAATTTCATCACTTTTGACCATATGAATATCAGCATCTGCCCCAACAAATTGCATGTTTTTGCTCAGTTTGTCTCTGAATAACATTCTGTTTTACCTCCATATTTTCACTATGTTAGATTGTATGAGCCATAAAAGCCTGATGGATCAAATATACTCAACAAAAAACACATATGCAGATTTTCTTAAAGACAATGTTAAGGAGGACCACCATTGACGGCCATTGATAGGAAGCGTTTTATTCCAGATTTAAGCATTTCTCGCTGCCTTTTTAATGTATGTTTGCAAGATTTATCACCCTGTCCATGCCTGACCTCATGTGACTCTGCCTAACCCAGTTCAGAGCAAACTAATCCATGCATAACGCTCAGCTCAGATAACTGAAGCGAGGAGCTCCCGCGCTCGGAGCGAAACCCCGCTAGCACAGTGTATCTCGTGGCCGTTATGAGCGATGGCTCTGAGCCCCGGAGGAAGTGCAATGAAAGCGCAGTTGACTTAAAGAGAGCTCTATCAATAGAGTGGCGCTACACAGCAGCCTCTATCTGTGACGGCACAATGGGGATATTATGTGGAGCGGAGAGCCTGAAGTCTGTATGCAGCCAGACACTCTTCCTCTGCTCAGCTGTCATGTGAGCGCTGTCCTCCGGATCATATGATGAACTCGGATGCTTTCACAAGCCTGTGGTGCTTCGGTCGCTGTCAGACTTTTCAAAGTGGCTTTCTGTCAGATGGTCGTGCATAAGGACTTCCTTCGAAATTACAAACATCAGACCTGTCGTGTAGAGGAGAAGAACAAGTCCATTATGTGTGTTTTAAAATGTGTCTTTATAAAGCCAGACCCCTGTTCTCTGGCCGCTAATGCTCTTATATTAGATTTTGCTCCAGTTTACTACTACAGTCACAAGTGTGTGCGTTTCCCATACAAACTGTGCATGTTATTTCTGACCTGCATAATCCATCTTGGCATCCTTTCCACTAGGGCTGCATGATGAATCGTCTTTTAATCGTGATCACGATTTCTGCTTCTCGCGATTTATTTACCATAATCGCCTGCGATGTCTTGCCATTGGCTATTTATTCTGAAATTGTTTCATTTTAATATGGCATTTGCGTGCATTGATAACGAGCCTCTGCAAGCTTTCATGGTTGCCAGATGTCAAGCATTTAAATATTTTTTTAATAAATCGATACATTTTCTGCCCAGTGGATTACTTAATCTTCCCAACCTGGCAACCATGTGCACATGCTCTCTCTACATTATGGAAAAAAAACGCTGATGAGCTGAAAACATCGGCAAACATGTAAGTTTGGATTGAGATCATATTCTGCTTAAATAAAAGTGTAATACAACCAATATGTTTTGCCGTTTGCTGCGACTAAATGACAATAACCATCCGTTTGTGACCAACCATTTAACCGTTGTCGTGTAGCCTTACTTTCCACAGTGAGTGACTTCCCCTTAAGTGTTTTAAAGGGGTCATATGATGTTGCTAAAAAGAACATTATGTTGTGTATTTGGTGTAATGCAATGTGTTTATGCGGTTTAAGGTTCAAAAAACACATTATTTATTAGGAGGGCTTAAGTCTTAACTTTTATAAAGAATACCTCTTTGGATTGAGACTTTAGTCTTTGCAACTTTACAGATCTTCTTTATGCACCAAGAGCTTGTAACACTCCAAAGAGAAAGGAAAAATTTAAATCGTATCATATGACCCCTTTAAAGCCACTCTGTTATAATAAAGACATTCATATGCCAATTATGCTTTTTGAAATCCAGATCACCTTTGCTTTTCATCAGTATTTGAATGATATTGGTGTATTGCTCACGTATGACGGTAGTTTTTCAGATGGAAATTCATAAGCAGTCATATGATGGCTGATGTTTCTGTTTCAGTGCAGATGTGTGGTGTTACCTATAAGACCTCAGATCGCTGCCCTGATTAATGATGGCCCACATGCAGACTGACGAGAATTTCCATAATAAAGAAACTGTTCTTGCAACAAGGTTTACGTAGAGATTTTTGACTTTAGAGGTGGCATAAATACAGTAATTAGCCTTAAGTATATATAAAATAATGTTGTGGTTGGTAATGTTTTTGAAAGACTGCATTTATCTGGTAAAGATACAATAAAATGATGAAATATTATTACACCTTAAAATAACTGTTTTCTATGTGAATATATTGTGAAATGTAATTGATTCCTGTGATCAAAGCTGTATTTTCAGCATCATTACTCCAGTCTTCAGTGTCACATGATCTTCAGAAATCATTCTAATATGCTGATTTGCTGCTCAAGAAACATTTCTGATTATCAATGTTGAAACAGTTGTGCTGCCGAATATTTTTGTGGAAACTGTAATACATTTTATTTTTCAGGATACACAGATGTATAGAAAGTTCAGCATTTATTAGAAAAAAATATTTTGTAATATTATACATGTCTTAACTGTCACTTTTGTTCAATTTAATGCAACTGACCACAAACTTTTAAATAATAGATTAAGTCACTTATTTTAAATAAAATACTACTAACAAAACTGATGTATATCTATAACTGCATCTATGCACAAGCAAGTAAGTACAGTGATTTAAGTCTTGCAAGCCTTGTTGTAGTTGTAAATGTGTTGCAGTAAAATATTAGCTATATTTGTCATCACATGAATTTTGTGAGTGGTGGTAGGAGGTTAAGGGGTTCTCATAGTTCAGTCAGAGGTTTCGCAGTGAAGACGTGTTGACTTGCAGCTCTGAGATCATTAGATGCTCCTCATGCGTCAGGACTCTGATGTCCCGGGGCCTGCAGCACATAACGGCTTTTATCAGCAACAGAATACACTTCTGTCTGTGTGAAGTTTTAAGGCGATGGCTTGATAATACCATCAGGTAGACACTCATGTGAGCTGCAGCACAGACTCTGAGGTTTGATGATCAAAATTAAAAGCTTTGAACTGATAAATGTATGTGCTTCACATTTTTAGGGATGATCATGATAAGATGTTGTTCTGCTGCTGCTAACCCTTTAGTATGCTTAACTTAAGTGATCCTCAGTGGGCATTGTTGATCCTCAGTGTTTTAAAAATAAAAATAAAGTACTATATTCTGTTGTATTAATATTAATTATTTAATATTTTGTATTTTAAAGGGATTTCATAGATGATATTCACCTCATAATTTTGTAACATTTCTATATAAAATACAAATATAAGAAAATATATTTTATACAATTTTCAATTAATAGTGTTTGTTAATAAATTGCAAAGTTTATATGTATACATAGGGCTGTGTAGTATGATGTGCTGTGAGAGTGTTTTCAGACATAATTACTTTTATTGTGTTTTTTTTAATTTGAATATGTATTTAGACGTTCCCATTCATTTCCAATGGCGGTATGATTTTTGACCATGAAGATGGTCTTTTTTTAAAGAATATTTAGCCTTTTCTAATCGTGTCCACAATCATTTTTCATTTTCCACAATCAAGAGTTTTAACCATTCTGATCTCTTTTTTTTTTTTTTTGGTCAAAATGGAAGACCACCAGGGTTAAGTGTTTCAAATGCCTTATATTGTAATTAAAAATTGTATATTGTGGACTCCAGCCACTGCTGGGATTTCAGCTTTGTGTCTCTGCTAGCAGCAGAAAGAGTTGATTTTAGAAATGACTCCTACTTCACATCTCACTCGGATGCCACTGACTGCTGAGTTGACCTTGTGTTTTCACTTGACTCTTATGTGCTCCAGAGGCCTGACCCTGCTGTTTGTGCATGATAGTCTCATCCCATGTGAGCTATGCTTGTGTGGCTGTCCAAAAACGCTGAATAAGTGGCTGAAATGTTTGAAATTCCTCTTTTTTTTATTTATTTTTTTATTTTTTTGACCATGCATATTGGAGTTTAGCAAGTCTAATTTTTATTTCTTAAATACACATAAAAAATGATTTACAAAGAAACAAAAAAAAAACCACTTATTTTTTTTATTCATCAAGGATGCAATAAATTGCTCAAAAGTGACAGTAAATACATTTATAATGCTACAAAACATTTCTATTCCAAATAAATGCTGTTCTTTTGAACTTTCTCTTCATTAAAGAATCCTGAAAAATAAAATGTATCACGGTTTCCACAAATATATGATGCAGCACAACTGTTTTCACCATTGATAATAATCAGAAATGTTTCTTGAGCAGCAAATCAGCATATTATACTGATTTCTGAAGATCATGTGACACTGAAGACTGGAGTAATGATGCTGAAAATTCAGCTTGGATCACAGCAATAAATGACGTTTTACCACATATTTACATAGAAAACATAAAGTTCTTTTAAATTGTAATAATATTTCAAACTATTTTTTCTGTATTTTGCCAAGTAAATGCAGCCTTGTTGAGCTCAAGTAGACTTATTTCAAAACGTTAGGAACAATATCTCAGTGTGAAAAATCTCTCTCTGTCTCCTCTAGAGATATATTGAGTATGAGGATTCTCAAGAGCAGGAAAAGAAAGATCTACAAAGCCGTGTGCAGATGCTGGAGGCTCAAACCAGACAGATGGAGCTCAAGACCAAGAACTGTGCAGACCAGAGTAAGTTATCTGCGTTACCTCACCTCAGCTCTTCAGGGCCAGATGATGTTCAATATCCACTAATCAGTCAAATAATTACTTGCGTCATAATTAAAAAGGTTCTTTGAAGGTGTCCTTATGGTGTTTTAATTAAACATTAAACATTTTTAAAAGAGACTTGTAAATAAAAAAGACTGTTTTACAAGAAAATATTATTTAAGTTTTTCGACTTTAAAAGTTCAGTGTTACTTGCTGATTCTTTGTAATTATTTCTGAGTGCAAATTCTTTGTGTAAAAAAAAAATAAAAAAAGATGATTAATCTGTATTATATTGGTGTATATACATGAAAATTATTGTAGATGGTTAATTTAAATTTAAATATATAATTTCTTCATGTTCATGTTGTGAAAAATATTGTGTAACGTAGTGTTGGGCGATATGCTCAATTTTCATATTGTCATATCGTCAGCCTGTGAGATCGCCGATGCACGATATTATCGTGCAAATTTATTTAATTATTTATTTACTTAATTTTATTTCCGGAAATGGAACCAACTCCAGCGTAAGGCTAAAAACGGCCTAATGTTTTTAATGTGACTGAATTTGTATTTAACATGATAACAGTTCAATAGAAACATTGTAAGTTACTAATCATAAGGCTTACATTTCCCCAGTTATTCAAAAAGCAGCTACAGAAAACGAGCAAAGAACATTTACATTACCAAAGCACACCATCACTGAGTCTAGCACGAGTATATGCACTTTAAAAAACACTCCCTTTATAATCAGTGAAGCCGTCTACACTGTATGATGAATAAATCTCTTATACTTACATCGCATGTACATCTGCACTTTGTTGTTTATGATGAGAGAATTCATGAGAGAGCTGAATTCAGTCAGCGTGCACTGAACAGCAAAACACAGCTGTTTCAGCGATGACTCATCTGAACGCCTCTGATTGGCCATTGCATTCATAAACTCAGCATAATCCTGTGTGATTGGTTATAAAGCGCAACACTGTAAAAACGCGGAAAAATAAATACAATAGAACAAATAGCCTAACCCCTAATATTAATGAGATAGTAATAATTTAGTATTAGTATATTGATAACAATTTGTTAATTTAAATACTCTGAAGTCATCCTGCAGCAGAACTGATGCATCTACATTTTTACGCTTTCTGTATCAAGATATATATACTGAATATCCTCAAAGACCGTAAAGAATATTGAGATGTCATTTTATTTTAGCTGTCTTGCAGAGTGCTGTTCTCTAGATAAGTCTTCATAAATCAGCTGGAAAATGCTCCCTATTTTTGGATATGGTGTTCAGCAGGTGAACTCTTATCTTTGAAGCGAGACAAAGCTTTCATTCTCTGATCACCTGATCACACTCGGTCTGAGACTCACACGCAGTGTTGGGCTGTGAATGGGCTGAGCTGGATTACAGCTTAAGGGCCGCTGAACTCGCCCACATGATGGCTGGATGACCGTGTTTACTGCCAGGCTCAGCTCCAGGTGGGCGGCACGTTACGTAAACACATCTAGTGAATGCCATCGGTGTCCTGAATGAGGATTAAAAACGTGTTCCCTGTATTTCTGACATGAAGTGATTCAATCCATTGTGTTTGTGGAAGAACTTCCCATTTTGTGGTTAATGCAAACGCTTTTGTATTTCCCTACTGTAAGCATACACTTGTTAAGTTGTCAGTGAGTCAGAGGATTTTACAGTTTGATGTATTGGAGAAATGTGTGATGATGAACAGCTGTCATGGACACACACTTTCATTCACTCACTACGTTCCCGTATTCTCATAGCTTACTTTTTATATGCCTAGATGTATAGCAAATCAACCTTATGAAGCCTTCATATTTTCTAAATTATAACTTTTTTCTCTTTTCTTTTATGTAAAGCACTTTGAATTACCATTGTGTATGAAATGTGCTATACAAATAAACTTGCCTTGCCTTGCCTTGCCTTGCCTAAATGGTAGTTTTGAATTTTGAATCTTTTTTTCCCAGTCACCTGAACAATAATTATGACCAATCTGCTTTTGTTGCCATGTAGATTGAAAATTTTTAATGCAAAAAAAAGTAGATGCATTAGTCAAGGCAGGAAGTTAGGAAGAATGATATTTAATAATTTGTGTTTGCATGTAGCTACAATACAGTTCAAAAGTTTGTATTCAGTAAGATTGTTTTTTTGTTTTTTTTTGAAAGAAAGAAAATAAGTACTTTTGTTCATCAAGGACGTGTTAAATTGTTCAGAAGTGTCAGTAAAGACATTTATAATGTTACAAAAGATTTCTGTTTCAAATAAATGCTGTTTTTTTAACTTTCTATTCATCAAAGAATCCGGAAAAATAAAATACATCAGTTTCCACAAAAATATTCAGCAGCACAACTGTTTTCAACATTGATAATAATAAAAATCAGCATATTAGAATGATTTCTGAAGGATCATGTGTCACACTGAAGACTGGATGTGAAATGTAACTTTGCATCACCGGAATAAATTACATTTGAAAGTATTTTCACATAGAAACAGCTACTTTAAATTGTAGTGATATTTTACAATATTACTGATTATACTGTGTTTTTGATCAAATAAATGCAGCCTTGGTGAGCAGAAGAGACTTCTTTCAAAAACATGAATAAATCTTAATGAACCAATACATTTGAGCGGTAGTGTAAGAAATTGGAATAAACTTTTTTTTTTTTCTAAAACATTTTAATACTAGAAATATGCTGAGTGATGACATGAACACATTTGAATCAGAGTTCTGAATCTATTCACTGATAAACATACAAACTCTTTCATGGAAACTAGTCTTGCCAACACTAACTTGCCTAGTAAAGTTTACATCAGAGATGAGGATCCTGAAACTAGTGTAAAGACAGCTTTTAGGAAGCTTGATAGTCATTAATCATCATATTCACAAAGTCGCTTTATTTATTTGATCTTGCCAGTAATGCATCTTGAATATTTGATATATCACTTTATCTCGGTATTTACATATATTTATTAGCAGTAAAAGCAAACATATGATATAATGAAGGCTTATTCTGAAGTAAGGAGTGACAGGGTTCGACTCTGATTGAGGATGATGATTATACACCACAGGAACTTTTGCTCTCCCTCTGTCATCCTCCTTCCTTTAATTCACAGTCATCAGGTCACATGGGGTTTTTCTCACAGTTTCACACCACATGCTCAGCTATGAGACACGTTCCTTATCTGACCTCCTCTGAGATGACATGACAACTTTTACAAAAGATTTAGATGAATTTTTAGTGTATGGAAGCCTGGATCAGTTTTATTTCTGTTGCTCTACTGACCCCTTCTGGCTGTGTGTTGTTACTACAGCATATGACCTCTTTCCCAGGAGGCTGTTTGTTCAGAAAGCCTTTCTCTTTGAAGCTGAATAACAGTAGACCTGTGTTCATATTTAAACAAATAAATATCTACATAAACATGCTGTGATTTCACTCTTCTGTTTTTAGTTGGAAGATTAGAGGAGCGTGAAGCCGAGCTGAAGAAAGAGTACAATGCCCTCCATCAGAGACACACAGAGGTAAGAATTCCTTAGCATTTGCTTATGCATTTCAATAATTGCATAAGCAATTTGTTACAAAGCCAACAACATTTGTAGTATGCAATGCCATGTGTATAAAAAAGCTAGATTAGGAGACAAGCAGAGCAAAGGAGAAATGCAGAGAAGAGAAATCAGATTTTTTTAATTTATTCAAGTGCAAAGGTTGTGGACTGTTTAAATACTGAAAGTTTTGTCTTCTGCTTCTTGGCCCTGTTTACACATGCTATTAAGATGCGTTTTCCTCGATCTGATCACAAGTGGACAACGCAACTGGATAGGCTAACAAAAACATTATAATGCAACGACACCTACATCGCCATCGCATCTCGTGCGCCACTGTTAAGGCTGCCTCCTTAACGCACACCAAAAATTGGATTTTTATTTTAAATTCGACGAATATTCGAAATTAGAATTTTTTTTGAACTGGGTCTAAAACCTTTTGAGCTTGTCCACTTTTGACCACTTCTAGATGCAGTCGAAAACGCATTTGACCGGATTGCGCTTGAAGTGTGGACGCGAGCTAATTCTTAAACATTACAATGTTTATTTCCTATCCTTTAACCGACAAAATTAGTGTTAAATTAGATTTAAACTAGAATGAATATGTGTATGTGGCCCATTAAAAATATAAGTTTTTCTTTTCAGTGGTTTTTGCATGCGCTTAAACAACAGGAGAAAACAGAGAAAAACAGAATAAAATGATATGATAGGAATAAAATAGAGACATGCACAAAATATGTTTCAGTTAAATAATTAACAAATTAACAAAACAAAAGAAACAAAGTTTTATTAAAAGTCTAAAGTCTTAGTTTTATTTCAGTTTTATGGCCACACCACACATTTAAGGAAACAGCTTAATTTAAGGACGGCTGAAAGCACATCCTGTTTGTTTACTTTATTTTACAAAGTCATAGTTTTGTTCTCATTGTGAGCATACATAAATAAGAGTAAACCCTTTACAGATTCAAATGATGTCTTACTCCTATCCTTATGACCAAAAATCACAGAATATTTTAGTTTTTCCCGGTGTGATATGGAAAATATGCATGATTGCGCTGATTTGTATTTGATTTGTGTTTTATTTTATAACTGTATATATAATTTTGTACTAGAATTTTTTCATGTTTTTCATATTTTCTTATTTTTATCTTAATTCTGTTCTGAATGCTGGTAAAATTTAAAGGATTTGCTGATAGGTGACTAATGTGTTTTTTTTTTTTTTATCTCTCTCTCAGTGCAATTTCAACTGATGTGTAACAGAATTATTTTAATTATTTTATTCATGCAGTAAACGTTTAAAAATAGTTTTGGGGGAAAAAAGTAAAAACTGTGTTCAGCTCATCAGTAAATTATGCGAGCTTATTTCGCAATATTAGATCGAAAGATCAGAAAAAGCCCCTCCCCTCAAAAGAAATCATGACAGAAGTGGTCAAAAGTGGACAGAGGAGACCGATCAAAACACCAGGTGTGAAAGGGAATGTGTCTCCCTCGTCTGCTTGTGATCCATTTGACCAAAACGCATCTTAACACCAGGTGTAAACAGGGCCCTTGAAAGTTGTGATGGTTCAGCTGTTCAGGTGTAGGTTGTCAGCTCGTTCCACCAGAGAGGAGCAGAAACGGTCTGGAAATCGACTTTGTGTCGTTGTGAAGAATCAAAGCCCTAAAAGATGCTTTTGCATGTAGTCTTTTGCTGCTGTCATCAAAGAATACTGTGTGTTTGGATTCACAGATGATCCACAGTTACATGGAGCACTTGGAACGTACCAAATACCAGCAGATGACGGGAGAGACCACAGACAATGCGAGTCAGAGCAGAATTAGGTGAGGAGGTTTCTGATCTCATTCACAAATACTACACTATATTTCATCCACCTACACAGTTTCTAAAACCAGTTTCTGTGTGTATAGCTATAATTAATAGTTTTTGCTTTACTGTTTATGCCAGTTCCATATAATGCGGCTGTGATTTTGCACTTAAATAACCCTCGTGAAGTCTCCCACATGCATGCACGCAAAATCTGTGAGCCTCTCCTAATGTAGGTCAGCGGTTTGTGTGTGTCTCGGCTGAGTGTGATATGGAGGGATTGAGTGAGAGAGAGAATCGTCTGGCAGATGTTAATGAAGACAGAAGCAGTGGGATGGATGGCTTGGTGATTGTGTTATAGACTGACAGCATGAAAATTGAAGCATGAAAATGTGTATTTCACAGAGGCTTCACAAGCATAACGTGACATGGTTTCTACAGGGGTTTCAGTGATGGCCGGCTCTAATCTGTTCACGCTTATAGATACAAACATTGTAATAATAAGGATCCCCCAAAATTGTGATCCTAAAAATACAGTTATATTTTCACTATGTGACTGGAAAATAGTAAGTGTGATTTTAAAGACAACATGTTGTATGCAAATTTAAATGAATTGATAAAAATATTAAATAAAAGTTTGTAGCCAGTAAGATTTTTTTAAATGTTTTTTTTTTTTTTTTAAAGTCTCTTCTGTTCATCAAGGCTGTATTTATTTAATAAATTTTAAAAAAGTAAAAATTGTGAAATATTATTTCAATTTAAAATAAATGTTTTCTTTGTCAATATATAGTAAAATGTAATTTATTGCTGTAATCAAAGCTGAATTTTCAGCATCATTACTCCAGTTTTCAGTGTCACATGATCATTCAGAAATCATTCTAATATGCCGCTTTGCTGCTCAAGAAACATTTCTGATTATTATCAATGTTGAAAACAGTTGTGCTGCCTCATATTTTTGTGGAAATTGTGATGCATTTTATTTTTCAGGATTTGTGGATGAATATAAAGTTTAAAAGAACAGCATTTATTTGAAATAGAAATCTGTTGTAAAATTATAAATGTCTTCTGTCACTTTTGATCAATTTAATGCATCCATGATCAATTAAAATATTAAGTTCCTTAAAAAAAAAACATAATGACGCAAACAAAGAAGTCCATTCACATCTATTTGTATAAATGTGTCACTACATAAAAACATGCAAGTACAAAAGTGTTGTCATTTTGGTAACACTTTACTTAAAGCCTTTATGTATAATGCATTATAAAAGTAGTTTTAATGCATTAATT